CCAGAAAAGAGGTAATAAGCCACCATTCCTCTGCTATACGAAAGTGTTCTACTTCAGCAGGGCTGACGTACAGCTTCCCATTTCCCCTTCCCCCTCACTATAGGGTCCATCAAGCAGTTCATATGGGAAAACCCATAAAAGACAATGAACTAACATTTTACTTGCTCTCCCATCCAAAGCAACTCCAAAAGGTGTCCTAGTTATTCAGCTATAGGTAACGTATCTGCTGAAGATAAGCAACGCAGATGGGGATGTAGCTGAATCCAAAGCGCTTTGACTTAAATCTTAAAACAGAAGCTGTTCGTTATGGCCCTCCATTATCACTCCCGTCCTACCTCTGGATATCTTCACATTGCATTTCTTATAGAATAAATCCATGATAAAAAAACTACGATAAAGGTATCATTGTTATAGTAACAGTGAAATTGTTATGCTTCATTGCTATCCCCACACTTCACAGGGACTCTGGCTGGCATCACTGCTTACCTCCCAAACATTTCTCACAAGAAAAGAGTTCCAAGTCTTAGACCTGCGTCCCAGAAAGCACCTAAGCAAGAACTAACACCACCGCTGCCTGAAAGGCTGTAGTGAACAATACAAGCAGCAATCTGATAGCAGGTCTCAAGTCTGAGCTCTTTCGGAGCATCTGCTTAAAGAACAGCTGCTGCGTCGTGCAGACGTCACCCCGGCTCGAGCCTCTGGACGACCCCAAGAACAACCGCGCCGCCAGAGACATGCTGGGATGGACCATGGAGGTTCTTGCGCTACCTCACGCACCAGCAGCAACACTACTTACCCGGCTGCAAACAACTTCTCGTTCTTCCCCCCTTCCAGCCCAGAGGAGGTTCAACATGCAAGAGGCCATTTCAGGTAACACTCCTGAGGCTGTATCAAAGGTTTACTCTTGGGGTTTTCTGCTCGTTTCTGAAGTTGTCACCCCTACGTTATCCAAAGACACAAAAACTTTGGAGAAAGCCTCAGTCTGTGGTTGAGCATAAAACCCAAACTGCCAAGCACAAGAGCCAGCGGCAAGATTGAGACCTGAACACCGATGTATCAAGACTGATAATACCCTCTAAAAAAGCCTAAGCAGCAGCTTTCCTTTCCATCGCTTCTTTGTACTCCAGTCTATTGGGATTATTTCTACTTAATCCACATTCTGCAGGCTTTTGTTCTTGCCACAAGGTGCAACAGCAAAGGTCAGAAGAAGCTTGCTGTTCCCCTCGTTAAGCTGACAGGGATGGTCACTACGCGTAAGATACCACCGCTTTTCCCAGAGACCAGAACAAAAACAAGATGATGATACGAGCACTCTCCACAGCCTTTAAAATAGCTGGAGTGTAAACAACCAGTGATAATTACTTAAGCAGTTGAGCGAGACGACTACAGCAACTCAAATTGAGAGTGCTCCTTTCTAGTCTGTAGCTTAACTCCCATCTAACTTTTAAAGCACCCTGACTGCTAGAAAAAGTGGTTTTATTTCCCTTCACATACTTTGCTTCTGCTGGAAACATTGCCTACAGCCCTATCACCTCCCTTCTCCTCAGCAGCCACCACTCTTACTCCACTGAAACACTGGGTACTTTGCAGCACTCGATACACATCACTGCTTTGGCAATGCTCTCGCACTACTTCCCAAGGCTTTAAAGACTCTTTTAACCTTACACAGTCCCCATTATCCCTCAGGATTCTTTATCTTCAAAAAGCAGCATGAAGAATCAGTCCATGAGCACCCAACGTTAACAAAGACTCAACACATTCAGCTTCTCCCCTGTTCAAAGGCACAGACTACAAACAGAAGTGCTCTGAGTGCGTTGAATCCTGAACCTCAGCACGTACTAAACTACAATAAAGCAGCTTTTCCCTTTTCCCGAGTCACCTAATAGAAGACATACCCTCCCCACAAAAGCCCTGCGCTATCTGTGTGTGTCCCCTGCTCCCAGCAGTCACATTTACCCCGCTCAGCACTCGCTGCCACGCCGCCTAGGTCTGTTCTGACGGCGGGCACACGACCCGCTCCCAGGAGAAAGCGCTCTTCGGAAACACCTGCGAGCCCACGAACGCGCTGTGGAACAGCCTTCACGTTGTATTGAGTATCACTCAAGTAAGTGACAGACCACTGCAGACAAGCGATACTCAGCTGGAGCACAACTTCCTTACGTAACCCGCTACCGGACACTTATCTGGAAATTTAAACACACTGAAACGATACTAAAAATCCTTCCCTTTCAAGCTCTACCTATTCCACGAGCGCACGTAAGCCTTCAAGCTCTCTTCAGTTTTCTTCTCCACCTTAGCTTTAATTTGGTCAGTACGACACACGAAGCTTCACAGAAACGTCAAGATAACCTACAATCAGAGCAAAGATGTTAACACGCAAGCCAAATCCGACGCTACGTACGTAACAAAACAGAGCTAGCGAACTGTTCTTAAATATTAGGTAGCAGGTTCACATCTGTTTCTAGACAAAAATTAGATCCACATAGTAATCGAGACCAAAAACCCTACGGGAGGGCTGGCTTCTACACCTGAACCTTGCACGTGGACTCCAAACTGACAGCCACCTTTTGCGGGGAAAAGGATGTAAATTCCCTGCTGGACTCACCAAGGTAATAAAAACGTACTCGGATATTCCTCTCAAATAGAGGGGCTTTTTTCCTGGTAAAAGATACCGCGACGATCAAGCAAAGCACGGTTTTAAGACTACAGGAGATCTGGCAGCAGCGTTTTTCTACAAGGCTAGGACGCCCAGCGCGGTGCACCTCCTGCTCCAGGAGGAGAAGGCACCTCGCACGCCTTTCC